CCTTCCCAAAACTAAGCTCCTCCTTATTACTTAGGGACCAAAACCACCTTTGTAAAATTATGGTTCAGGAGTCATGTACCCAGAGATCACAAGGTTTGTAACCTTCCCAATTGCTCCTATAGATAGCATCACTATCATAAAACCTAAGACTGGTGCTTGAGGTGTTTTTTAGACCCTGCATTCTGATGGACCAGCTGGTGCCAAACAGGTAACCCATATCAAGAAATTAGCTCAATTGGTCTTATGACCCCCATACGGGAACTGACTTGGTACAAGAAGACAGCTTAGACCCTCTATGATTTCAGCCTCAACCCAACTAATTAGCATTCCCCATTTCCTAGGCCCCGGCCTACCAAACTATCCTTGAAACACTCTAGCCTATGAATTCTGAGGAAGTGGATTTGAGAATTATCTCCCATCCATCCACTTGCCACTGGCAAGTGATAATCCATTGGCCCTGTGATAGTTAAACTCTTTCTTTGCTGCAAAATCTGTTCTCAATGCATTGACTTTTCTTGGCAGTGAGGAAGAAGAACCCATCAGGTAGTTATAAAAGCAGATACAGAAAACATTAGAAAGGCAGGGAGAGAAAGGAAAATTATGCTGAAAAGTAGAAAAGCTTTGGTAACAAGGAGATGGAATACTACTGGCTGGAGGAGAAGCTAATGCCAAGATGGGGTAGGTAAAGAGGAAGAAGAAAACTAACATTTATTGAATGTCTACTATATGCCAGTAACTGTCCTAAGATCTTTCAAATATTTTACCTTATTTAATTCTAACAATATTTCTAATAGGAGACATAAATCTTAGCCCCATTTTACAAAAGCAGACTAAGGTATACAAAAAGGTAATATATACTTGCTGAAGGTCTTACATCCAGTCTACCTACACATGGTAGTTTTAGGTGAAGGAGCAAAGCCCTTGATTTTTCCACCATACTTCCACTTATTAAACTGGCAAAAGCAGGATATTTCTAAAGGAGGAGGGGGAAAAAACAATAAAAAGTATACTAGAAAAAAACAGAATTATTACTTTTCTTACTGTAACAGAGCTACCTCTTTGAAAAAGTATAAAAGAAAAAGCAACAAAAATATGAGTTTTTTAACACTAAAAATAACCTCTCAATCAGAGAACAGGTAAGATTAGACATGAATCATTGCTTCCAGTCTCATCCCTCAGGTCTTCTACACACTGACACCTTAGTTAGAATTCTAAACTGCAAACCTGACTATGTCACTTACTCCTCCTCTCTTTATAATCTTTCAATAATTCCCTATCGTAAACAGGATTAAAAAAAAAACAGAACCAAAAGGAAAAAGCTACCTAATAAGCCTATTAGAAAGCTATCTAATAAGCTTATATTCCTTAACCTAGAAGAAATCATGCCGAGATTTTTTAAGTTAACTCCTAAAAATAAATGCTTACTTATAATTTACAACACTGCTTAATACTCCATCCCTAATCTTCTCACCAGAAAATTGTAAAATAAATAAAATTTCAAATGCCAGTTAAGGAATAAAATCAACACCTTGTGGTGAACACCCTAAAATATCAAATATAACAATGAGTAAAGTTGCTCCTAATTAAATGGCTATTTACCTGAAAACAAACCCTTAATCCAGAGATTTCCAAGGGTTAAGGAGCAATAGTTCAATTGCTATCCCACATTAAATGTAAATTTGGAAAGAAGTGCTAATCTTTGGCAACACTGAAATTAGCCTAAATTCTTAACTATGGGCCAAAGTATCTGAATAAGATCTTAGGTCACTATCCATCTGAAGGAGCTTTTTTCTTTCTTTTCTTTTTTCTTTTTTTTCTGAGATGGGGTCTCACTCTGTTACCCATGCTGGAGTACGGTGGCACAACCTCAGTTCACCCGCAACCTCCACCTCCCAGGTTCAAGTGAGTCTCCCGCCTCAGCCTCTTGAGCAGCTGGAACTACAGGCATGTGCCACCACATCTGGTTAATTTTTGTATTTTTAGTAGAGACAAGATTTTGCCATATTGGCCAGGCTGGTCTCGAACTCCTGATCTCAGGTAATCCGCCTGCCTCAGCCTCTCAAAGTGCTGGGATTAGAGGTGTGAGCCACCATGCCCAGCCTGAAGGAGCTTTTAATACCCTGGTTTTAGGTGCTCCAAAGAGTGCCCATTTTTCTGTGACACTCCCACACAGTAAGTAGAACAGATGTATCCTAGTGGCCAAACAGCACAGTGAAAGTTAATTAACTAGAATATACTCTCAAAAAACAGAATCAGGGCCGGGCGCAGTGGCTCGCACCTGTAATCTCAACACTTTGGGAGGCCAAGGTGGGCAGATCACTTGAAGTCAGGAGTTTGAGACCAGCCTGGCCAACATGGTGAAACGCCGTCTCTATTAAAAATACAAAAATTAGCTGGGTGTGTTGGTGCCTGCCTATAGTACCATCTACTCAGGAGGCTGACGCAGGAGAATCACCTGAGCTTGGGAGATGAAGGTTGCAGTGAGCTGATGTTGTGCCACTGCACTCCAGATGGGGCAACAGTGCAAGACTGTCTCAAAAACAAAAAGAAAAAACAGAATCAGGAGACTTGGGTTCTAATCATGACTCCAAACAGCATGCAGAATTTTAGAGTTAAGTGACATTAAAGAATTTAGATGTGTGTTTGCACGTAAAATTACAGATGAAGTAGGAGAAATTTTATAAACCAAGAAAGCATCAGGAAAAGAAAAGATATATATTTTTAAAATGACTCCATCCAAGGACAATGTTAGAGAGGAAACCATGAACTAGAGTTTAATGCAATAGGCATAAAATTAAGTTTCCTAAAAATCACTTCATATATAGCACGGCAAGCACTAAGGGAAAAGAGGATCATTTAATAGAGCAGATGATGGGTACTCTTTACTAATGTCTGAGAGAACAATCACCAAAAGTTCCATCTGACTCATCAACTTTGATAAGAACAATTTAAAGTTTCCAGTTCCAGAACAACTCCCTGGGTTCAGTAAATTTGGTTGATAAATTACCACTTAATCTGGCTTAGGAAAAGTAAATCTGTGTTATTAGCTAGGCATGAATTATACAATACTGATGAGACCACTATTAATAAGGCAGTTCACATTACTGACACACCTGAAGAATCTGAAAAATACCCTGGATATGAATCCCTCAAGAGCCAAATCACTGCAAGACCAATTTTCTATAACTGAATAATTCATCCAAATTAGCCTGATGACTTTGCATTTATGTAGGGCACTGTGTTTACCAAAACATTTCCTCAGTCATTATGCCATGTCTACCTTATAACCACCAGTTTAGGAAGGTGAGACTATCAAAAGGATCTACAAAAACATGCTTGTCAGAAAACCTTCAAGCATCCTTCAGTCTGAGTCTGGCTCTTACTTCTGTGTGCCCTCAGATAGATAAAACATTTAATGCCTCTTGGCTACAATCAAGACAAAGGCTATCTATCATCCCTGATGTGTAAAAAACGTTTAAGAGAATAAGATAACAAATGTGAAAATGCTTGAAAATTACACTGCTTCTACTCTTTAGAAGCACCAGAGGTTAAATAAATCGGGATAAATCAAAGATAAAGGCAGGATCAGATTAATCAACACATCCTCCATTATACCACACTGCTTCACAAGATCCAACAGTTTTTCTTCAGTTCCTGTTCTCCTACATTATCACAGTGTTCGCTACTCCTTGAAACTATCCTCTTTTAGCATCTATGATGCTACACTATCCCAAATCCTCTTCTTCCTTAGTATTTTTTCTTTTAATTCTACTGTTTTCTCTAGTAAGGGCACACAATCTCACATTTAGGACATGTCTTTAAAATAGTTGTACCTATACCTCATTTTACTAAGGAAAACTGAAATCAAGAAATACTAGTGGCTTACTAACATTTCAAACCATGTCTAGACATTCTTTTTAATACTTAAAACTTAGTGTGTCTCCAACTGAAGAGGCTTTAAAATATGTTTATGTATTGACACCTCCCACTATCTCCACCCTCTAATTTCTGAACCCTGTGTGTTCTCCTACATATTCTAAGCAGTCAAGGTGTAGACATCTCTAATGCAAGAACCAAAACTCAGAAAATGTATATGGTTACTTTAGTCAAGATCATGTTCCTTAAGATGAACAGACACAGTCCATGTGACCAAACTCTGTATCATCATGTGTAATAAGATTCAAGCTCGCAAAGGAAAGGCCAATTTTGTAATGTTTTTAAAATAACCATTTCTCCAAGCATCCTTCTAGATTATTCCTCAAGTACATATATAGAGGATGTCTGATGGTCTTAAATGTATTATGTGTCATGTAAACATTAAAAATACTGTAAAAATCAAATTCCAATGAACAATCTGTCTGAGTAGGGTGAACACAGGTTGAGTGTCACTGCTAACTTTATTTGGAATTGCATTTATTTTGGTAGCTTGCCCCCTGGAAAAATATCCTTGATGATCTATCACATTTGAAATTAAAGCCAAATTTTAAAATCTTTCAAAATTAAGCCCAGACATTATGAAAATATAGAGCTGAGACCTTTAAGCCACTGAGTATTAGATACATGCAAAGCTTTTTTGGCTTGCCAAACATAATTCTTTTAAGACGAAGAACAGGTCAAATCTCAAAGCCATGTTTGGGCTGCTGAAGGGCTTTCCAAGTGATGCTGTAGTTGTTAAGACTTTGATAAGTCTAACTTTTGCACATTTGATTGCTGTTCCGTAGGGTACAGAAGACCGGAAAATAGCTCATGTGTGTTTTAGGATCACTGGCTTCCAAATATTCTCTCCCACTGTCCAGAGAAAGGAAATGGTCTTCCAAAGACTTTGTAAAAGAGATAAACTTAAATCACAGTAGCTACAAAATTTATGAGGCTTGCACTAAAAAATGCTAAGCTTGAATAACAGCCTCTAAAACTCCCATTAATTTTCTCACACTGAAATGTCACAAACTCAAAACGAGAAAGATTCTTTAGAATTCAGGACAATCTAAGAAGTTTCTTACCGTAGCAAAGAGAAGACATCATAAGAATTGCGAACACAATTCTGATCCACCTGCAGAATATTCTTCTGAGCAACTGAATAACCCTGAAAGACATTAATCATCAACAAATTAATCAAAACCAAACCAAATAAAATCTATGCACAAATTAATCATGTTTGTCTTTTTAAAAATATGACATATTAACAACTGAATAAATCTAAACTTTTAGAGATTCCAAATAGTAAAGTATATTTGCCATATAACAGAAGTCTAACATTTCAGGCAAGGGAATTTAAAATCAGTTTTGGTGGGGCGGATCTGACAAGAGTGGAGAGGGGATGCATCCAGCCCAGCCCCAACTCCTGCAGCCTTCCCTCCCACCACACTGTGGGCCCAGCGATTGCTGCCCCAGCCATGGAACAAGACAACAGCCCCCAGGCCCTGAGGGGACAGAGCAGATTTGGAGGTGTCACCCTACACTGCCACCCTTGTGCTGACCGGTCATCCCTAAAGAGAGATGAACACAGATCCTTGACCCACTTTGGTAATATCTCCATAGCAACAGAAGATGACAAAGATCACATTCACAATGAGAGGGCTCCAGATGATGGCTGAACAACACCTGGAGTGACAGCAGCATGGAGAGGTGCCTAAGGGAGCTGCTGAGAGCACAGGGACCCAGGAGACCTGCCCACCTGGGATCACAGACACGGAAGTGGAGTCAGGGCTGGGCACCTTTGGGCCATTACAAGAGCCTGCAGAATCTACCCCACAACTCAGGAGAGAGGCAGTAAAAAAATGCAGCACAAAGGAACCCTCAAACCATATACCACCAACGGATTCCCAGAAGCCAGCTCAGCTTGAGAGAAAGAGGTATCCTGGAATCAAGACTGCAGTTTGGGAATGCATGAACACTGGATTTGCTTTTTATGTCTTCACTTTTGGGGAAAATCTCTTGTTTTAAAAAAAAAATGGTAAATTTGGGGTTAGGTCAAAAATAAAATACATTTGTTCTCACAGTTTCCCATGGAAACAATGTTTCACATTTTAAATTGTGGTGAACCTCCCAAGGAAGCTCCAGAAGTCATTTTAACATATTATGTGACTCAAAAAGAGTATTAACAATAATATTTCAACTCTGCCTAGCCATCATATGTAATGTTTTTATGGGGGAAAGGGCATTCCAAGTTCTGATTAGGAACACCAGAAACAAATATTTCCACTCAGTGGTACAAAGGAGCAAGGATACTTTCTAAAAAGAACTGAGGACAATTCTAGAAGAAGAACAGAATAGGTGTCTCTGTCATTTAACAAAGGCAGAGTAGGAGACTGATTTGAGTAATGATAAAACTCCAGTCTCCTGCATAACCAGTCTACAGGAATTACTCTTTCCCTACTACAATTCCCCTGTCTTGATAAATCGGCTCTGTCTAGGCAGGGGGCAAGGTGAACCAATTGAGCAGTTACACCACTGTGCTCTAGCCTGGGCAACAAAGTAAGACCCTGTCTCTTAAAAAAAAAAATAAAAGGCAGAGTAAACAGTAGTTTAGAAAAAAAAGACTCTGGACCCACCAGGATTCCAATGCAAGCCTTCAATACAACCACTGTATAATCTTAAGCAAGGCACCAGAGTGCTCTTAGTTTAACCTCGGTTTCTTCATCTGTAATATGGAGATGGTGGTAACTGCCTCACAAATTGTGGGAATTAAAAGTTAATATCTGTAAAATGAAAGGTATGTAATAAGCACCATGTACGTGTTTGCCATAGTGCCAGTAGAAGCATTAAAAGTTATGTCACTACAGGCATTAAAAGGATATTAGGAGACTATTATTAAGAACTTTATGTGAATAACTGTGACAACTTAGATTAATTAGACAAGTTCCTTAAAAAGAAACACAAAGTGCCCAGACACACTATGAAACATCTAAATAACCCCATATCTACTTTTCTGGTGAATAAGCAATTGAAAATCTTCCCACATACACACAAAAAAATCCATGTCCAAATGGTCTCACTGATGAATTTCATCAAACATTTAAGAAAGAAATAATATCCACTTTACACAAACTCCTTCAGAAAATGGAGAATGGAACAGTTTACAACTTATAAAACTAGGATCACTGATGCCAAAACTAGACAGAGACCACACACACACACACACACACACACACACACAGAGGAAATTATACAATAATATCCCTCATGAAGAGAAACACAAAAATCCTTAGCAAAATATCAGCAAATTGAACCAGCAATACATTATGAAGATTAAAAAGGAACAGTATTAACTGGATATAGCCTAAGAATGTCTAGTTAATCTACCTTTTAAAAAACAATCAACTAGACAAATACATGAAACAATTCTTATAAATCTATCTTGATGGGCAAATCATTATAAAGATGCAGTGTGAAAACAATAACATAAAGGTGGGAGAACAGAGCAATACAGAAGCAAAGCTTTTTACAGTATTAAAACTAAGCTGGTATTAATTCAAACTAGGCTATTATAAATTAAAGAAGCTTGTTCTTTAAAAAGATCAACTTTGACAAATCTTTTTTTTTTTTGAAACAAGTCTGATTCTGTCACCCAGGCTAGAGAGTAGTAGCACAATCACAGTTCGCTGCTGCCTCGACCTCCTGGGCTGAAGCCATCCTCTTGCCTCAGCCACTTGAGTAGCTGGAATTACAGGCGTGTACCACCACACCCAGCTAATTTTTGTATTTTTTTATAGAGATGGAGTTTCTCCATGTTGCCCAGACTGACCTCGAATTCCTGGGCTCATGAAATCTTCCCACCTCAGCCTTTCGGTTAGCTGCGACTACAGGTATGCACTACCATGCCCAGCTAATATATTTCTTTTTAATAGAGAGGGGGGATGTTACTATAATGCCCAGGCTGGTCTTGAACTCCTGGACGCAAGCTATCCTCCTACCTTAGCCTCCCAAAGTGCTGAAATTCCAGGCATGAGCCACTACACCTGGCTCATTGACAAATCTTAAGGTAAACTAACTAAAGAGAAAAGAAAGACTCAAATCCCTAAAATCAGGACAGAAGTGGGAACGTTATTACCAACCTTACAGAAGTAAAAAGGATAATGATAGAATATAATAAATGATTAATTGTATGCCAACAAATCAGACAGCCTAGACAAAACCATACACAAACTACTAAAAATGGCTCAAGAAGAAACAGAAAACCTGAACAGACCTATAGCAGATAACAACGTAGACAGAATTTGTAATCACAAAACTTTCTCTCACACATACACACATACACACACAAAAAAAAGCCCAGAACCACATTATTTGACTGGTGAATTCTACCAATTATTTAACGCCAATCCTTCTCAAAGTATTCAAAAACCATAAAAGCAAGGAAACACTTCTTAAGTTATTCTCTGAGACCAATATTATCCTGAAACCAAAGCCAAATAAAAAAGTCACAAGAAAACTATAGACCAATATCCTTTATGAATATAGATATAAAAATCTTCAACAAAATACTACTAAAACTAATCTAGCGGCATATTAAAAGAATTATAACCCACAATCTGGCAACTATTTCTGGATATATATCCCAAAAATGTGAAAGCAAGGATGGGAAGCACCATTTGTATATCGATATTCATAGCAGCGTTATTCACAATAGCCAAGGGGTGGAAGCAACCCAGGTATCCACAGAGAGCTGATGGATAAACAAAATATGGTATAGTCATACAATGAAATATTATTCAGCATTAAAAAGGAAGGAAATTCTGACACATGCTAAAACACCAATGAAGCCTGATGACATTATATTAAGTGAAGTAAGCCAATCAAAGGAAAACTATTACATGATTCCATTTATATGAGGTACCTAGAGTAGTCAAATTCATAGAAACAGAAAGTTGAAGGGTAACTGCAGGGACCAGGGGAGAGGGGAGAATGAGGAATTATTGTTTAATAGAGAGTTCCAGTTTTGCAAGGTGAAAAGTTTTGCAAGATGAAATACATGGATAGTGGCAATGGTTGCACAACAATGTGAATGTACCTAATGCCACTTAACTGTACACTTAAGAATGATTAAGATGGCAAATTTTATGTATTTGTAATTTACCACAAAAAAATTTTTTTAAAGATTGTACACCATGAACAGGTAAAATTCATACAGGGTATTGAAGGGAGTGTCAATATATAAAAACCAATCATGCTGGGCACCTATAATAGATTGTACACCATGAACAGGTGAAATTCATACAGGGTATGCAAGGGAGTCTCAATACATAAAAGCCAATCAGGCTGAGCACCTATAATCACAGCATTTTGGGAGGCCCAGGCAGGAGGATCACTAGAGCCCAGGAGTTAGAGACCAGTCTGGGCAGCATAGTGAGACACCATATCTACAAAAAAATTTTTTTAAGAAAGAAATTGGCTGGGCATGGTGGTGCATGCCTGTTGTCTGAGCTACTCAGGAGGCTGAGGTGGGAGGATCACCTGAGCCCAGGGGTTTGAGTGTGATCCATGATTGTACCACTGCATTCCAGCCTAAGTGAGAGAGGAAGACTCTGTCAAAAAAAAAAAGAAAGAAAGAAGGAAGGAAGAATCAATGTAATACACCACAATACACAGTCATCTCAGTTGATGCAGAAAAGCATTTGACAAAATTCATCACCTTTACATGATTTAAAAAAAAATTCAACAAATTAGGAATAGAAAGGAATTTCCCAGTCCTGATAAAGGGCATCTACAAAAAACCTACAGCTAACATCATACTCAATGGTAAAAGACTCAAAGTCTTCCCCCAATATAAAAAACAAGAACGACAAGGTGATTGCTCTTCTACTCAACATTTGTAATCTAAGTTCCAGACAGAACAATTAGCCAAGAAAAATAAACTGTATTCCAACCAAAACAAATAAAATGGCATCCCATGTTCATGGATTTAAAGACTTAATATTGCCAACATAGCAACAATATCCAATGCAATCTAGATATTCAATGCCATTCGAAATTCCAGGAGCCTTGTTGACAGAAATGGAAAAGCCAATTCTCAAATTCGTATGGAATTGCAAGGGGCCAAAAAACAGCCAAAATTATATTGAAGAGAACAAAGTTAGAAGATTC